GGCTTTAAGTGAAAACCGGCACTATACAGTTGAGAGGGGCGAAGTACCTGCCCCCTCCACAATTGGAGAGAGAGCGAGAGAGAGAGAGAGAGAGAGAGAGAGAGAGAGAGAGAGAGAGAGAGAGAGAGAGAGAGAGAGAGAGAGAGAGAGAGAGAAACCTTGTGCTCTCTTTCTCTTGTGATGTTGCGAGTCACCTGTAAGGTTGAGCTGCAGTCGGTCTTCCGTCTGTGGGGCCACATATTCAGCAGCAGCAGCACCAGGGACAGGCTATCATCCCCTGAAGCCGCTTTCACGACACTTAAGATGTTTGGTATGACAGGCCGAGTTTCTGCCGGGATCGCACCATTCACATTAGCAGTTGCCAGTCCGATGGTAATAACTCGGGAGGGCATCCTCACTGCGCGTGGCTGTGTGGAGGGCTGATGCTGCTCCTGCTCAGAGTTGGCATTCAGCAGTGGGTGGGCAAGTGACCAGTGAACCATGCAGATGAACCAGCTCATAAGCCGGGTGACATAATGAGGCAGCCGATGCTGACTGGGCAATCCACATAAGCAGTCCCAACCTCTTGCCGGGACGCTGGAGGTTAGACCTTCGATGAGCGTACGTAGAGTCAAGGGCCCGCCGTTGATAAATTGGATTGGCGGTTGCGTTTTCGTTTCGCGAGTCAAGGGGCCGCCATTTAAGGTCGTGTACTTGCGGCTCTTAAACCACTACCGTCTTCACCCGAATACAAGGTACAGTCATTATTGCTGTATCTAGACTCAAAGTTTCCCCCAATACAGCTATAATGACCGTACCTTGTGTTCGGGTGAAGATGGGCAGTACACGGCCCGCCGTTGACAAATTGGATCGGCGGTCGCGTTTTCGTTTCGCGCTTCCAGAATTTGAGGTGTGAGGCCGGCGGCCCAGGTGCCCATGTACGGGTGCTTTAAATGGGTAGTAGTATTGTTACAAATGTGCTTGAAGCTTTGTCAGCTGTCCCGTGAGCACGCCTGCGGGCTGATGAGCCGGGGCATCGGACAAAGCACTGGGATAGTGTATGACAGGGATGTCCAAGCCTCAGCCTTATCAAATATGCCAATGTGAACCGAGATGTCTAGCACGCCTGAACCCACCTGTGAGGCTTGTGAGACGCCAAGAATCCATCAAACGCACTGAGCTTATCTGCGCCCTCCTCTTGTCAGAAATGAATAGCTTAACGCTCTTCTAGCTTTCTCCCAACATAACTGTCCTGTTGAGCCGTATACCTAAAATCAAGCCCGGGTTCTCTTGCTACATGGGCACGTAACTTTTAGCCCTTAAACTTAGACAAAGGTACCTTAAATATCCTCAAGCTCGCACCTTAATCCAAAACAGGGCCCTTGAAGCCTAGCCGATGAGCCGGGGCATTGGACGAAGCAATGGGATAGCATATGACAGGGATGTCGAAGCCTCAGCCTTATCAAATATGCCAATGTGAACCGAGATGTCTGGCCGAACCAAGATTCTTGCCCCGAGGAATAGACATGACCCATCTTGCTCAGTAGTGTCTTTCCACTCCAGGCGATAGCAAGCAGGAGGCAGCACAGTATTATTGCTGGATAGGATGTCATCAATGAATTGATACGCAAATGCATATTCTTGTACTGCGTGTAAATCCCGCTGACGAAGTTCATCCATGAGCCCTGCCTTGTCCTCAGTAGAGCATAACATTTACCATCTCTGGTACAGCATCCGAGCGCATAGGGATACCAACCCGCCTGATGGCGCAGAGTGTCACCCGCTCCTTAGGGATAATTGCTAGTAGAGACCACAAACTGCAGATGCTGTTCCATATCTGACACCGAGAGAGTGTCAGAGCCATGTGAAGTAACCCCCTCCCCTTGACGAGAACCTCCCACCAGTATGTACACTTGTACTGGCCTCCTGTCCTATGGAATCGGCACCGAGGCATAGTCGTGTGCTCCATGAACAACCTTTAGCACATTGTTAAGGATCCTGTCGTGCCGCAGGTTAGCGTACACCGTGGTAAAATCTGCTGTGGGTGGCATACAACCTCGAAGGAAATGCGCATTCTGCTTGATATCCAAGATGACCTCGTCAACCAATTGGCTGCACCTTGCTGGATCTTACACCTTATACATGTTGTCTGCTCTCTTACCGATTCTCATTCATATGCATCTAGTAGTTCTGCACCAAGGGGAGGGAGGCGAGGAACAGTGGGCGGAGGAATCTCGTAGGGTCCACAGAACTCACCGGCAGAGCAGACTGCTAAGGACTGGCACAAGACGTCAGTCACGGGTTGGGTTGCAGAGAAGAATGAGTCGAGGAGCATTGCCTATGGTAAGTCTTCACCCCTGCAAACCGTCCAGGAACGGTTCAGGTGTGGACTGTAAGAGCACCGCATCCAATTCTCACTATTGCAGTTGCTGTATCGAATGGCATGGCGTAGACAGGTGCTGTCACAGGCAACATCACTCCCACGTGCTAGCGAGGAACACAGAGGCATGGCGACTGCAATTGCATAGGCACCGCGATTCCAGCACTTGTCTACAAATAGCTTGCTGCATCGAATGGAATGGCGTAGACAGGTGGACAAAATCCATGGTTCACAGGCAACATCACTCCCACGTGCTAGCGAGGAACACAGAGGCATGGCGACCACAATTGCATAGGCACCGCGATTCCAGCACTTGTCTACAAATAGCAAATGCCACGTACGGGTGTTGTACATGTGTACAGCGTCGACTGTTCTGTTATCATGCGCGGGTGTTCATAGTATTCATACCTTGGAACAAAAAGAGAAACTGCATGGACTATACCATCATAACCCTCGCAACACAAACAAGGCCGATCACATGCTAGGTGAACATCAGCTTGGTCATCGAAGTGTGGCATTGAGCAAGTTTCTTGGGATTCTGCAGCTGGCATTGCTTGTCCACGCGCAGGCAGGTGATGACGCGGCCTGATCCAAAGTTAAGAGTGTTTAGCTGTTGCAAGATCTTCTGGTCTTCAACTGCTCACCCTGGCGGCAATAGCCTGTCAGCATTCAGCACACTTCAGGTGGTTCATCTGGTCTTCAACCGCGTACTTTGAGAGTCTGTTGTCTACTTCAGGCTGTTGAATAGATGGAGATGGTCCTCCACACAGGTAGAGATGGTCCACAACATCCTCTCTATTCCTTGTCTGGCGAGGATCGAGATGGTCCGATAACAGGTGCAGCCAGAGGACGTCCAGCGTTACAGGTGGGACATGAACGGGGAGGATGTCGCGGATGATGACATCGGAGAGGGTCCACACAGGAGAGACGCATAGTCTGTTGTCCACCTCAGGCTGTTGTGCTTATTCCTTGTCTGGTGAGGATGGAGATGGTCCGATAACAGGCTCAGCCGGAGGATGTCCAGCGTTACAGGTGGAACATGGACGGATAGGATGTTGCAGATGATGGCATCGGAGAGGGTCCACACAGGAGAGACACTCAGACACATACTCTCCAGAACAGATTCCTGAAAACATCGGCGGCACATGGCATGTTGCTGACATGTCGGCAGGCTCAAGCTAACAACCATTCAAGCATGGCATGGTTCACCGGCAGAGCTCGCATGAGAACGCACGATGGAAAGACGTAACAAACCGAACACAAACTGTCATGGATAGAGCCCTTCCATGCCATTGACTCATCACAAGTGTTCTTTTGGCGCACTGTGGGACACCCCAGACGCATAAACATTAGTAGTCATTTAGTACTGACAATTGACGTTGACATGGCATGCTGACATGTGATGGCCCCCACAAGGGCCACAACAATATTGGAGCTGTTTTTTTGGTGAGAACAGGGGAAGGAGGAAGCCATCAGCAGATAAGCTTCACCGTGTATTGTGTATATATCTGCCTGATGGCCGAGCCGCACACACCTTAGCCTTTCAATGAACCATACATACTCCGAGAGGTAGAGGGTCCAAATCCTCTCTCCGTTGCACACAGTTGAATTGTCCATCTGACTATGGAAAGCAACAGAAGGCTAATGGAACAATACAGAGACAACTACCAAAAACAAAAACAAAAACAAGAGAGAGAGAGAGAGAGAGAGAGAGAGAGAGAGAGAGAGAGAGAGAGAGAGAGAGAGAGAGAGAGAGAGAGAGAGAGAGAG